ACTGAGTCAGATGTGCGGACAAGAATCAAGGCCAATCTCCAGCTCCACTCCGTCAAAAGCGGTCTCTCTGCTTGTGGACCCAACTGTCGCCCAGGACCCCGATACCCAAAGGCATAAACATGACTACAGCCATCCGGAAAATCTCTCGTACATCCAGTTGGCCACGCTGATCGCTGGCGGATCGGGTGTTCGCACAAACACGGAAGAAGAGCGACTGCAGCCAAACAAGCCATATAAAACTCGCCATATTAGAAAACTGCTCGCTGGCTTCAAGGTGCAGTCCTCCGGGAAAACGAGCCTCTTGGGAGCGCCACCAAAATCATTACTTTTTGGTGCCACCACCCAGCGCTCAAAATGCCACACAGGTGAACGACAGCCACTGACCGAGTTGAACAGAACCGACCCGGGAAACTTGGGCAAAAGGCTTAATCCTGTGTATCAATCCGTGAATCTGTGAATCCGTGAAATAACCCGCGGAGGCCCAAATTCACCATGTTGCCATTTTTGAATGTTCCCGCCATATAGATTCCAGCCAATCAGAATGGGGATGACGCCGCATGGCGCGTGATCGCGTCCCGGCTGCTGATATATCGGATGTTCAACACCTAGGTGTTGAAAGTATAATTTCCCCCAAAACGTGCCCGTTCTCGCGGCACATGCCCTCTGATTATCCTGTGGAGTAAAAACTGCATTAATATATCCTTCTTTGAGCCGCAATACTGCGACGTTGTAGTGCGTCGACCTCCACAGAAATCGTTCGGCTTTAGAACCCTTTTGATGCATTACTGCCGTGATACCTGAAGAAAGCACGAGGAATGGGCTATATATTTTCAGGTTGCCCAAGCCTAGACAGGGGATGTCGGGGTGCGAAGGCCAGGTTGGGACCACGGATCTTCGAATTCCAGATCTTCGAATTCCGGATCTTGGAATTTCAGTCAAATTCGCGATCCAACTTGCCGACCTCTACTGCTGCCCGGAAAATGATGGGGAAATCGCTACTTTATCATTTGAGACCAGTCTATTTTGTTGAATTCATCGAAATTCTTTGAAGCCTATCAAGCACCCCTTTTGCCATGAATAGAGAGCACAACCCTAACTGAAATGGAAATCGCGAAAACGCCGCATTCTACTGTCAGTCGTCTTGACAGATTGTCAGAATATTCTCTTCGTTTGGCTAAGTTATCTTACCGTTTGCACTACAATATAGCTCCTTTGGATGCTTAACGGGAGTTGAGCTAATATATGATAACTTTCATGTTCCCCGGCTCTTTGACTTCCGGTTTAACGCCCACAATTTTAACTTACTGCTTAAGCGCAAATTTCGCCTTCGTTTTGCCTGACCCTGGCCATAACTGCAGTCAAGCAGATGAGCCTAACCGTGGTCAACACAAGCAAACGTATATGACTATCTCAGTTCACTATGACTGTTTATTCTCCGGTGATCGGCCCAGGATCCGTAGAAGGTTTCGATGGTGCTTCTATGCTTGATAACCTAGGCGTCATGAACAGTTATATGCTCTAACACTTGTCCCTCTCGGACCCACACAAATTGTCGAAGCTTAGTGGTATTCACCGCCTAGTTTTGAAGGTCTTAGCTGAAGTTACTTTTGGGCCCTGTTGTAACTGTATTTTCCTCAGCTTAGTTCTCGGTCTGAGCCTCCCAAGCTAGCGTTCACGTCAAAACAAACACCAAAGGTGCAAAAGGTCTATTAACGCCCAAAACGAAATCAGGAACAGTTGTACAGCGCTTCGTATATATAGCGTAAGCGGCTATAACTTTCTGGAATTTCTGACGCGTTCTGGAGCTCCAGTGGCAACCGGCATTTGGCCAATACTGGGTCATGATTGGCTGTTGGGTCCAGATTTTTGACCAATCAGATCTCGTCTTGATGCCGGACCGGCAAGCGTCCCGAATTTTGGGCCAACCGCGAGCGGGCCAGGCTTCTCGGCCGTAGCAGCGCCTAAAGACGTGCGGTATAGTGGGATCCGCGTGGATTCCTGCCTAACAGGCCCTTAACCGTATTGTCCGCCATTTTCGTAGACTGTGTAAATTCATTTGAAAAAGGGACTGCGGTCGTCAGTATGACGTCTACATCAGGCCACTGGCGACTTACCGACCAGTCGAATTGACCTGCACACTATTTAAATGGCGGGGGGGGGGGAATTATCACGAGATGGTTAGTCGGCCAGCTGAAAACGAATAGGAGGTTTATAACGGCTGGCACGACTTTCATAAGATTCACTCCCGTCTGTCGAACCCTAATGCACGAGAAAGGTGTATGGCTGTCAGACAGGATGTTGACGTGGTTTCCATCAGCATTGCGAAGTCTTCCGATATTTATCCAGAGCGGGCTGTTAAGATAGCCCTCCGCCTAGAGCATCCATAGTGGTGCACTTTTATGGGGCTTTGACGTCCTTGTTGTTGACTTTTGTGATGGTATATCGAAAGTTACATTTATAGCCGTGTTACCCAGGGTCTCGCTCTGAGACCGACGCGGTTCCCTTTTTATAGTAGTTCCCAAAATCATAGAATCACTTGACCGTCGTAGGCCAGGTCAAGGTTTGGCCACATCTCTGCTTCCGCCGCTGAGTTGGGCATAGAAAACAGCGGACGATAGTTAGGCATACGCAACACGTCTTCCAATCAAGGCAGCTTCTGGTGCTGGACACATTCTTTGGTGGAAGTACCAGTTGCACAACTAAAACACGCTTTCTAACAGCCTGATTATGGACACGCCAACCCACACGAGCTATGGTTCTGAGAACACGACTGTCGAATCATCATCATCATTATCACCGACAGCATCATCATCATCGACAGCATGACATCAGTGTTCAGCACTGATACTTCACTGCTGTACAATCATGAGTTAATTGAAAACCTTATTGTGAAAAGAATGAAGACGGGGGAGGGACTTAGTGCTGGCTTGCTACAATCATTCTGGGGTGCCTACACCTCCAAACACTCATTCAGGCAATCTGAATAGGAACTGATATTAAGATCACCACTGACATCGCTTAGAAGCCGTATCTTGCAGCGTCCCCAACCAGGCCCAGTGAGGATCACGCGGCCCCCATCCTGGAAGGCCAATAGCATCGACAGCACCCAAACGTTTCGTGATATCTTTCATACTCCTCTGCCAGGTCAAGGGTTGGCCATCTCTCTGCTTCCACCACTCTGATTTGGGCATGGGAAACAGGACTCTCTTCGGCAAACGATGGTTCGGCATACACAACACATGTCCCAACCAACGCAGCTTCTGGTGCTGGACGCATTCTTCAATGGAAGTACCCGTTGCACAACCGAAAATTCGCTTTCTAACTGCCTCGTTACGGATTCGCCGACACCAACCCACACGATCTATGGTTTTGAGACAATGATTGTGGAACACCTGAAGACGTCTCAGTTCCGCTGCCCGAACAGGCCAAGTCTCACAGCAACACAACAAAACAGTCCGCACTCTAGCTTGATACACACGTCCCTTGAGATTCGGGGATACATCTTTTGACGCCGTAGATGTCTCAACTTGGTAAATGTGACCCGAGTCTTGTAGCTTCGTGCATTGTCCTTATCCGTCACGCTACAGTTGGAACAAATACAACTTCCAACTTACGTAAAACGTTCCGCAACTCCGAATGCTTCCAGCTGGATTGTAAGTGGCGTGTTCAGTGACTACATGTCCAGGAGCGCGACCTTACACTTTGTGTGTCCAAAGTGCATACCAAAGGACAGGATGGCTTTGGTCAGTTCATCCGAGAATACTTGCGCCTTCTCCGCCTCTTCGAACATGAGAACGATATCGTCTGCATATTCCAGGTCGACAAGGTTTTCGTCACCATGAGGTCAGTCGAATTCGGCTATTTCGGAAGTTAGTACTGCATAAAAACAGCCTGCGATCAGCACACAGCTGAAGCAATCGTTCACCATGGTTCGTACTTACCGAGTCCAATCCATGTCGACCTTTCAACTGAGTCTCAGATCGGCTAAGCATGCCCACCTGTGCATTCGCATCTCCGGCAACCACCACGACATCAGCTTTTAGCTCGCCGCAGCAGGGCATTCATGACGTCGTGGAGCTTGTCTTTGACGGCATCGGAGCCACAGTCAGTTGGGACGTAGGAGTACCCGACAAACAGACATTATCAACTTCCTTCACAGACGTTGCCAGAGACGACTATCAACAGGTATCCAGTCAATCAAGGATGCTTCCGCCCGGTGACTCAGGACGATATCAATACCTGCACATCCCGTTGCAGCAGCCTCTGGATCACCAGAGGTGCGTAGTCGGAAGCGAGTGGAGACTGATAGGGTGGTTAGCTCAATCACTGCTTGCATCTTGAATTCTCGTTTCTGAGACATGGCACACATCAATGCCAAGCGAGTCCAGTGTGAGTGCAGGGGCAGCTTGTTGTCCTGCTTGCTTCATGGTGCGGACATTGAACGCGACCAGATAGACAGTCTGTCGAGGCTTGAGGTTTGATTTGAAGGTACCTGACGATGTCGGTGCCGTGTGACGAGCAGAGGTTGCACGCAAAACCGATGCAAGACGAACGGAGTCATCAGTCCCAAGTGCTTGGCCTACAAGGAGAGAGTTATTGATGGGGTGGGGAAGACGAATCAGTGACGCCAGAAGGCTAGTTACAAAAGGAGTCAAATTAACATCTCTGTGATTGTTGCATTCACTGCGAGTGCCTTTTTGAAAGTGAAAATTGTTATCTACTAGCCTCAGTTATGGGGAACGGTCTCTTTGCCCCATACGGATACACTTAGACCAAGCAGTCACTACCACCATCATTTAACAGGAGGGGCGGGATAGCTCAGTGGTTAGAGCGCGAATTCACTGACCGGAAGGTCCGTGGTTCGAACCCAACCTCTGCACCTCGACTTCCTCTGTTTAGGCTTGGGCAACCTGGCAGTATCCCAGCCCTCTTAATTCCTTCGGTGGCATGGCCGCTGGGCACCTGAAGGGTGTTTCAGCTGTACAATTTATTTCTTAAACAGGGCAGGTGGAAAATCGTCAGAGCCATGAGCACGATGACACTCGAGTAGAGATATGCATCTTTACTCTCCTGTGTTTGGAAGCGCTCCCTATTCACAGTCCACCTTTCTGTTGAAGACTGGCAGTCCGGATAGGAGGTAGCAGTTGTCTACCGGAATTGTTGTTCTAACTATAACCCCGAGATCCGTACGTTCTCTTTCGAGAACCGAGTCTTTATGACCGTTTCCGCACCTAACCGAAGAGTATGCGATATGTGGTGGATAACCGATGTCAATGCATACATGCTTGTGTTTCTTTCCATTTTGTCTTATCGATAGTCTGAAGGCGTAAGTACACATGAACGATTGTAGCAGGCAAACGCCAGTCGCCATCCCCATCCATTCATCTTTAGTCAGTTTGAGGATCTAAATACTACTGATCCGAAGGGCGTTACAGCTGGAAATTTTTGTTATTAGTACTACCGCACAGACCAAAGATGATGGCACGCCTGCCATCGTTGATCATGTAGATTTACACATAAAACGGACGTTCTGGACCGTGGTGCACTGTTCCTTTCTTTAAGGTTAATTTGTAGTGGTATCTCAAATTATCGGTCCTGTTGGGCACGAATAGTCTTGAAAATTTCAACCGCAGGAAATAGGTTTATCTTGATGGATTTTCGTTTATCGAGAGTCAACACTGTCCCTTTATTTCTTCACGTTATTCCACATGTAACCTCTTTTCGCTTCAGCACACTTTCACTGTTCACAGCGCTTGAACGCAATAACTTTTGATCTGGCTTTTCTGCTCTCAAGCCGGGTGCCTGTCACAAATGGTACGTTCCTCTGTCACTTTTTATAGCGTTTGGACAGCTTTTCTTCTCATTTTTTAGAACTCTTGTCGGTAAAGATGTACTTATTGAACTCAAAAATGATCTCTGGTATGGAAATCATTTTACTTAATATTCGTGGTCAATAGTATCTGTGGCACTTTACACTCCGTTGACCAATACCATAACTTCAGACTTACCGATATCAGTGTCACTGACCCTGAGAAACATCCACATATGGTTTGTTGCTCTATTCTTCTAACATTTACCTAGTTGTCCGTGAAAAACTGTTTCATTCGAGGATCCATTGTTCGTTATGTGCAACTTCCTGCGGACGAATGCGATACTGTGGAACTCCAGAACGCGTCAAGAAAGGAGGCCACTCTTGGCAAGCAAGTAGCGGCGTGAGCAGTCCGGTCTGTAAAGTTGACTCCTGATTGTCCATTAAAAATTGTTATGCACAGATTACCCTTTTGCATTACCAACTGGCCCCGGGCTTCTCCGTTTATATTATTGAGTCGAGACTTTATGGTCCTTATTTCTTCCTTTTGTTCACCTCGATAGTAGGTCGGACGAATTCATTATGGGGCTTACTATCCCTGAATGACAATATTTATAACAATCCTGAACAGCTTTCACGGCATAATGTGGTAGTTCATTTTGTCTATTGAAACCCTTAGAGGGCGGGTACCTCATTGAATCAAGGAACCCCACAAGCCAGGCTCTTGTCAAGATCAGCAAATAGTGTACAAGCCGATGGGCGACACTTGTTTTATCCGAAGCAAATAATTGCCACAATACGTCGCCAGTGCACCCAGCTGCCTAGTCCCCATTTGTAAGATGGAACACTGTACCATAAGCGGGTACCCGTGTCTTTTGCTCGGTGCGGAATTCCACGGTAAATGCCGGTTGACGAAGAAAATAATGAAAATGTGCCCTGGTGGAGAAAACACTGGCTGTTGAATTTTGAGAAATCTCAGAATGCCTCACTTGGTTTCGCAGTTGACTTTTTCTGCCTTCCATTCAGTCAACCAGTTAGGGCGAAACCCGCTTGGTACTTGTCTGAGTCAAGCATAACTTGTCGCGTGGATATGTAATTGTTATCTGCCACTTGATAGGGTGAGATGCCTCAGTGGTTAGAGCGCGAAGGTCCGTGGTTCGAACCCAACCTCTACATCTCGACTCTCCCTGTCTAGGCCTGGGCAACCTGGCAGTATCCTAGCCCTCTTGCTTCCTTCGGGTGGCATGGCAGTTAGGCACCGAAAGGGTACGACATCTGAACCATCTCTCTATATCTCTGCTTGCTAGTACATCGCCGAGCCCCGTTCACATGACCATTTGTCACATGTCATGGAGCAAACTCCTTATGCCACGGGGACTCGAATACCTGCACGTTATCTGTGTGACTGAGGTGTCTGCTTATCACAAGTAGAAACGAGCCTAGTCTTTTTCGCTTGGCTATTTCATATGTATTACTTCCTCTCGCTAGTTGTGTGTGATGTTATGAACCGAGCGTGCTGTCAAATGGCCTGTAGTTAGCTAATTATTCGTAATCAGCGAGGCTCAAAAAATGAAAAAAATGTGGCCATTAGGGGCGCGACCCTTCCCGTTCCTTGGGTACATTAATGATACATGATTCCAACGAACAATTAAATTCGGAGATCAGCATGGAGTGGTTCGTTACCTTACAGAGTTCATATCGATACCTTTTTCAGCATAGTGACCTTCGTCTTTTCACACTGCAAAAGTGATCGTTCGCCAATCGACCATTCCCTTGGTGACTTCGAAGATGACTCTTCAGAGGTGACCCGTATAGAACTTTATTTGATCGGAACTGTTCCTCTTGGCCCAGTTTGTTAGTTTCTTCTGTATCAAGAGTGGTGGCGTTCGACTCCATTATTATAACCACCCATTCAGACAGGCAGTTGCTTACATCAAGATAAAGTAGTGAAAGTTCAAAAAGCGCTGCATTAAGTTTCCTAACCCGTGTGGGAAGACGAGTGCTCTTTCCACCCTATCGACCGGTCTACTGCATTCTGCAAGGTGAGGCGTTCGTAATGTAGCGGAGCGCAAGTGAATATTTGGTAGTTAAACAGAATCAGTATATGAGCGAATAAGGCGTATGAGTTTGAAGTTAATAAGACTACTACGCATACTCACCCACCGCCTACCAAGTATTTTACTTTCCTGTAGTCCGAACTCTTGCTCGCGGAAGGACAGATCATGATATGGTATTGCGAATTGAAGGATGCTACTCCAACTGAGTGCTGAGAGTTGTCCTTGTCTTCTTGCTTACGGTCCACGTCATCCTCCCATCCGATTAGGAACTTCCCAGCACGTGGCACACAGGTTGTCACTTCCTAGCTGGATTCCCCATCTAAAGTTGGCCTGTCGTCTTATGGTGAGCTCGTGCTGGGTGAAGTTCGCATGTGGTGTCGGTTGAATTCCACTGGTGGCATCCTACCTCCACGCGATGCACAAATGTGTTTACCTTGTCGCTACTCCAAGATGTAGTCACCTTGTTCTTGAGGGTTTCCTGAGGACAATGTCATCTATGTCTAATCGCTTCACTTTCTTCCATCCTTCTAGGGCATCCTTCTCTCATGGTTGTGTGGCAGTTAAGTACTAGTGTAACGGTGATACTACTGATCCCTGAGGACAATGTATGTCTAATCGCTTCACTTTCTTCCATCCTTCTAGGGCATCCTTCTCTCATGGTTGTGTGGCAGTTAAGTACTAGTGTAGTGTAGATACTACTGATCGGGAGGCACGCGAGTAGTATGTGTTGTTCGTAGAATTTCACTTTGGGTCGATTGAAAAATGGAATTCTGTTGCGGAATTCGTGGGACCACTGTGGAACATTTGCTTGAGTTTGACCAACGAATGGGTGGAGGTATCGAATCTCTAGGAAGACTCGTTCGGGAGAAGCGAATACCTGCACGTTATCTGTGTGACTGAGGTGTCTGCTTATCACAAGTAGAAACGAGCCTAGTCTTTTTCGCTTGGCTATTTCATATGTATTACTTCCTCTCGCTAGTTGTGTGTGATGTTATGAACCGAGCGTGCTGTCAAATGGCCTGTAGTTAGCTAATTATTCGTAATCAGCGAGGCTCAAAAAATGAAAAAAATGTGGCCATTAGGGGCGCGACCCTTCCCGTTCCTTGGGTACATTAATGATACATGATTCCAACGAACAATTAAATTCGGAGATCAGCATGGAGTGGTTCGTTACCTTACAGAGTTCATATCGATACCTTTTTCAGCATAGTGACCTTCGTCTTTTCACACTGCAAAAGTGATCGTTCGCCAATCGACCATTCCCTTGGTGACTTCGAAGATGACTCTTCAGAGGTGACCCGTATAGAACTTTATTTGATCGGAACTGTTCCTCTTGGCCCAGTTTGTTAGTTTCTTCTGTATCAAGAGTGGTGGCGTTCGACTCCATTATTATAACCACCCATTCAGACAGGCAGTTGCTTACATCAAGATAAAGTAGTGAAAGTTCAAAAAGCGCTGCATTAAGTTTCCTAACCCGTGTGGGAAGACGAGTGCTCTTTCCACCCTATCGACCGGTCTACTGCATTCTGCAAGGTGAGGCGTTCGTAATGTAGCGGAGCGCAAGTGAATATTTGGTAGTTAAACAGAATCAGTATATGAGCGAATAAGGCGTATGAGTTTGAAGTTAATAAGACGCATACTCACCCACCGCCTACCAAGTATTTTACTTTCCTGTAGTCCGAACTCTTGCTCGCGGAAGGACAGATCATGATATGGTATTGCGAATTGAAGGATGCTACTCCAACTGAGTGCTGAGAGTTGTCCTTGTCTTCTTGCTTACGGTCCACGTCATCCTCCCATCCGATTAGGAACTTCCCAGCACGTGGCACACAGGTTGTCACTTCCTAGCTGGATTCCCCATCTAAAGTTGGCCTGTCGTCTTATGGTGAGCTCGTGCTGGGTGAAGTTCGCATGTGGTGTCGGTTGAATTCCACTGGTGGCATCCTACCTCCACGCGATGCACAAATGTGTTTACCTTGTCGCTACTCCAAGATGTAGTCACCTTGTTCTTGAGGGTTTCCTGAGGACAATGTCATCTATGTCTAATCGCTTCACTTTCTTCCATCCTTCTAGGGCATCCTTCTCTCATGGTTGTGTGGCAGTTAAGTACTAGTGTAACGGTGATACTACTGATCGGGAGGCACGCGAGTAGTATGTGTTGTTCGTAGAATTTCACTTTGGGTCGATTGAAAAATGGAATTCTGTTGCGGAATTCGTGGGACCACTGTGGAACATTTGCTTGAGTTTGACCAACGAATGGGTGGAGGTATCGAATCTCTAGGAAGACTCGTTCGGGAGAAGATCTGTGTCCAGTTTTTGGAATTAAGATGCAGATTAGTGTTTTCCTTCCCTGTTCAATGGTCCGTAACCGGTCAGTTGGCATTTCCGAATGAATAACTCCACAACAAGGGCCTTCTTTCACTAGTATTTGCTGCGAGTATACTGTCGATGATGGATGCTAGGTGCATTTATTACTTCGGTTTGACTTTGTCTTCTCACATATCCGCCTGATCGGAACTTCGTACGCGCCAAAGATATTTCACCATCTCATTTCAGCAAATCTGTCTTACGCCATTTCAAAAAACAACCCTTACTCCTACATTCTGACTGGGTGAAGCTTGGAGTAATTTCCTTTAGCTACCTCAAGACTTGCTCTTCGCTGAAGTTGTGCGTTGCCGTAGCGTCTATGCGTAATTCTTCGGTCTACAAGCTCATTTAATCATCTGGCTAGCCTATGGTTTTTCTTCGTAATTCGTCCGATCGGCTTCTAATTTTTGCAGACAGGTGCATCACTTTGGAGACCCAGCTGCTCTGAAATTTATGGGCTCATCGATTCATCATCATCGACAGCATGACATCAGTATTCAACACCGATGCTTCACTGCCGTACATCCATGATTTATTTGAAAGCCGTATTGTAAAGGAAAGAGTAAAGGTGGACAGGGAAGGGACTTAGTGCTAGCTTACCACAATCATTCCGAGGTGCCTACATCTCCGGACATTCACTCAGGCAATCTGGATAGAAACTGGCAACAAGAACTCCACTGACATCGGTTGGCAGCCATATTTTGTAGTGTCTCCAACCAGGCCCAGTGAGGATCACGCGGTCCCCATCCTGGAAGGCCAATAGCATCGACAGCACCCAAACGTTTCGTGATATCTTTCATACCCCTCTGCCAGGTCAAGGGTTGGCCATCTCTCTGCTTCCACCACTCTGATTTGGGCATGGGAAACAGGACTCTCTTCGGCAAACGATGGTTCGGCATACACAACACATGTCCCAACCAACGCAGCTTCTGGTGCTGGACGCATTCTTCAATGGAAGTACCCGTTGCACAACCGAAGATTCGCTTTCTAACTGCCTCGTTACGGATTCGCCGACACCAACCCACACGATCTATGGTTCTGGTACAACGATTGTCTCAGCTCCGCTGCTCGAATAGGCCAAATCTCATCGATTGGTCTTTTGGTAATCATCCTGCTTCCAACGGTATGTAGTTGTGACTTTTCCATCTCTTCATTACAAAATTACGCTAGTAATATGCTTATTAGCATTTGTTTCCCACGGAACGTGGATCCGTTTTCCACGCCTAAACCACGACTTCTCCGTGTGTAGTCCTCATCCTTGGTCATTGAACCTTGAGATGCAACCTCCGGAACTACCCTTGTTGGTAGAATATTACTATGCTCACTACTGACAGTTAATTTGCACCAGGTCAAATGAACATCAAACCCACACTGACCGAAACGCACAATCCTAACTTTTAGACGTGACCTTTCAGCACTAAGCCTACCGTACTCCACTTATCAGTTTAGTAGTAACCATTCCATAAAATTCATGGAATCTGGCATCCACCTTTTGATGTTTCATGGAAGGACGATCTTGCCTCATCTCCAGCTTATTCTATGATTCTTGTGAGAAGTGGAATTCTACTTCACAACGGATGTAAAATAAAAATCGGTTATCTGAGCCATTAGAAGTGCTGATCGTTTAAATTGTCGCGAAAATGATGACTGTTGTGGTTTTGGTATAGATAGACCCGGATGTATAGTCGCTTGAGAATGAAGTCTGATGTCGCCCCATGCATGGTCGCATCGTCGGGAAACTGAAACCATAAGACCACTTAATAACCGAAGCGAGGTGACGACTGTTCAACCTTGAAGTACTCTCGGGCGTACTTCAGCATGAGTGTATTCTGCAGCACATGGACCTTGGTCAAAACGTTGTGTAAAGGGACATTGTATCAGGTGATTTGGCCCACATTTCAGTCAATTAAGTGAAAATCGGGGTTGATGGAGTGGATCAAACAAAAGACATCTCACGAATCAAACCGGGCGGAGACGGTCATACTGTTTTTCTAGAAATTATAATAAAACCGAAAGTACACACACCGTGTTCACATATTTTTATGTGTAAATCACGTAGCCACAATCCTACTGTAATTCCCATGTTTTACAAGTTGTCAAAATTTGACCTCAAACTATTGCTTGTTAAATTAAATTAAGTTAAATTAAGTTAAATTTGAACTCGAGTAGATGGACAATCTTCATTTAAATGTTAGTAAATTGACTGCGCAGTCTTTCTGTTTAGTTGCTCATTTTCGTCTATTTTTCGGATTTCGAGTCAAGTGAACAATTAGCCAGCGTCACATCAAGTTCGCTATTTCAACTTACACATCTGAATTGGAAAATTCCAAATTTCATATTTTTTCGGGTGGTAGGTTGGAAGATTTCGGAGTCACATGTACTCTAGTGTATTCTAATAGATCAAAGGTCACAAAGGGTTTCTGGAAGAGTGTAAAATTTCGTTCTTATAATAACGGTGTTGTGAGTTTTGCCAGTCACCTAAGGGATGATGTGCGGAATGACATAGACGATTGGAAAACGTCTCATCACTTATGTATACATTTACGGGTTCATGTTTTGTTTCTACAAGTAGCTGATATCTATGCTGTTCCTACAAGCCCCAAGCCCTGTCAAACTTCTGACGGTATGATCCGAAGATGGCAGTGGTATGTTGTTTTTCTGGCTTACTTTCTGATTTCCATGTGAGTACAAAGGACACTAATAACAACTTAATGGAGAAAGTCCTCACTTTGAGTTTGTTCGAGAGAGCCGTTAGTGAGACGCGTCTAAGTCACTCACCATAGGCCGAACTTTTTCTGCCTAATCGTTCCAACAGGCATCCTACTTCCAAACCTTTGGACAAATGTGAAGCGCAGGATACTGTTTCGTGATTGACAACAATGTTGGAGTTCCGTTTTAACGCTAGTTTATTGGACATGAAAGACCATTATATGGTGCTTTTTCATCAGCTTACAGGCATTTTGTGACCGGTTTAGTGCCTGCAATGCATGTCTCTGAATGATTGTTACTATATGCACGTCTGCATGACGGTCATGCATAATGAGTAGCGAACAGTCCGCATGATACTTTTCAGCATGTCATTTGGATCGCGTTACGTTTCATTGTCTTTGATAGTCTTTTTGCTTCGCCATACCGAGCTCCGTCTTTTAGCTTGTTTGGGTTGAGTGGTTCTATCAACAGAACGTGTTAATGCATTTTTGTGAATGGCGATTTTCCCGAGTTGGTCTTTAGGCGGAGTTTCCTTTTTAAAGTCTTTTGGCTTTTGGTCAACGCTAGTTGGACTGTGTATGGATAATACTTCTCCTGCGGCCGGATTAATCTTAGTGCTGACTTCTGTCTTGTTATTCCTGTTTTCATTATGTTGTTGTACTTCTACTGTGTGAACCGAAAAAGGTTTCCCTGAAGTGATAATGGGGGATGCAGCTACATGTCGATTTGGACTTGACCAAAACAAACGGCAGTTACCCCCAGCTGGTGTTTTTCTTTGAGCTGTGTTTTGGAAGGAATTTATCCCAAAACTCACTCGACTTTGGTTGCCTTTTCGATCGATATCCTCCGAGGCGCATCTGTGTTCAGGAGAGTCGGTTTCGTCCGGTGTTGTCCAGCTTTCTTTGAGACCTTCTCCGCTTAAAGTCGCCCCAGTTTGCGTGCGAGCGAAACTCTCGGCATCTCCAAGTGCTCCACTGATTGGCATGATCTCAAACATTCGCGGATAACCGAATGTGCTTAATTTTTCCGAGTAATCTACCAAACCCATTGTATGTGCTAAAATTCCGACTTCTTGCCGTATTTCATTTACCTGTGGTGGTTCTAATTCACAAATTTCATTTGCATCGTCTTCCAGAAAATCCACTTGCATTATCGACTGTCGGCCGGTATGATTTTGTTTGTTAAGTATATTTGATAATCCGATGGCTAGCCAGTTAGGATGACGCACAGTAGTAGAATCCCGGTCTGGTGGTGGAAAAAGGAAGTCCTCAAGCAAACCTGTATCCGCCAATCCACTGGTCAATAATCGAAATAGCCGTTGTGCTTGTCTATCTAGGCAGCGGTTTCTCACTCGTTCCAACCATAGTGTCAATAAACAGAGAGCGGAATCCCGGTCTGCAGCTATACATAGTCGTGCCAACTCCTTTTCCTGCCCAGTCAATCTGTTTATCATATCTGGACTCAGTTTTCTTGCGGGTGCTAATCTTTTCCCCTTTCGTGTGTTTGTTCCCGCGTCATAAGATACAGGCCCTTTAGGCATATACTTTTGCCGGAAGAATCCAGCTACCGAGATATGCTCCAGTAACCCAATCAGGCGGTTACCACAGTTCGAATAGCTTCTACTCGCTCCTTTTTTGGCAAGTCGATGAAATACGGAACACCATACTTCCTCATTTGTAGTTCTACCGGAATCTTGTAGAACAGCCCGAACATCGTAGACGCAAGGATCATAGTAAGACAAAGAAAGATTCCCTCCTTCTGTCATCGTTCGGTAACTGATAGTTTGTAACAGTCCGATGATATCTACTCCCGGACGCGTGTTCAATAATTTCACGCAAAAATCCAACAAATCTACGAACCAATGGGTAGTTTCTCGAGTTGTTCCCAACCGATCAATAATACCGATGGGTGCCTGCGGATTAAAACCGAATGACATGAGGAGGTTAATCCCATTGAAAAACTCTCGGCGCACTGCAATGACGGCCGGGTAGGTTGTGGAGTATTCATCCATGATAAATGGACCAGGTCTCGGTTTTGTGCGCCTAACGTAGCAAGTTGCATTGATATCTACTTCCTGCCTCGCTCGTGCGTGGATGCGTGTTCCTGATGTGTCCAAGAGCAAACGTAACACAGATTTGAGACGCAAATAGATGGCTATGGCTAACGGAGTTAAATAAAGAACCGTCTTTATTCCGTAAGCAGGCATACCCGGACCGGTTTTCGCGTCAATATACAGATGTGGTTGATCAAAAAGTTCAAAGTAGGCTGACAGGAGACTTGGTTGAATGTTGGCCAAATTCACCAGGTGGTGCAATCCGTTCCGGCAACGCATCTGATTAACAAGCCAGCGAGTTACTTCATGATCCCGTGGGTAATATTTTGGCAGGGAATCTCTCGTATTGTCAACGGGAGGTTCGGATAGGTCATTGGGTAGTTTCTGGAACTCAGGTGCGCTGTCTGTGGTTAGCCTTACATCGCGCCTGTTCTGATAAGCCATCAGACTTCGCTTGTCTGTTCCCTCCCACGGTACAGAGTCATTTAGTTTCACGTCTAGCCATCAGTCGCTCATTTATCGACTAATTTGAATACGCATCTCTCACGTGATGACAAGGGTGGAATACCGCGCCAGAATTAAGTCCTGAATCTTAAAGTTGACCGGTGGAATGCACAGCAAAGTGCACCTGGGACTTTCATGCTTTCTTATGGTTTCCTGATATATATCCGTGGAAAGAATGAATAAATTGATACGGATATATTTTTGACCAGATACACCGGCATCCGGTTGGTCTATTTGTCAATATGGTTCACTCATCAACACACGTTTTTTCGTTCTCCATTTGAAATGAGAGAAGCAGATCTCTCACTACCACTGTCATTATACTTACTCCATGTGAATTTCCTTTTGGTACATGATTGTGATGATTAATGCGGGGAAGTATACTCACTCATTTGTACATGATAGAGTGTGTCGTTCAATTTTGACATAATTATGGGAAGGTCCGTCTGCGGTAACCGCTAACGGGGCTGTTGAAAGAGTCGCACCAAATTAGTGAACGCTACTGTGCATGTTCTATCCTAGCGCTTGCTCCAAAACCAAGATTTAACAAAGAACAATCCAGCTGATGGTGCTTTGACACATTTGTCCGGGCTGCCGCGATTAAGTGTTGGACAAATTTAGCAAAGGTTTTATCACGAATTTAATTGCTGGTTTTAGTGCAGTTACTGTAGGTTTTTTTTTACTTTTTACACGCTAGTGACATAGATATTCAAGATTACGGCCGTCCGTTGTTATTACGAAGAAAGCTTGTGCACAACGCCTCATTAATTTTTTCGTATTTTAGGCACGGATTTTAGCTGTGCACACATCGCGTCTTGACGTTGGACATTTTCACAGAACCTCTTACACTGCGAGACGACTTGGGTCGGTTTCAACCAGTTAGAATTTGTAAACCAGAAATAATGTTGGGCGGCAAGTTAATCGTCATTCGCGACGGCGCAAGACAACGGGCTTTTCTCCCGTCTGCAAAAATTCTAAACAGAATGTAGTATGTCCTGAGAGTGAAGGTTCACCAAAGCGACCTCATAGGGCTCCTTCAAGCTTACAGTTGACCATCCCTGCAATCGGCTAGGTTATGTTACACCTCTTACCACAACCTGATACTGACCTTCAAAACATGTTTTGGAACTGTGATGCTGGAAACAAGGATCCGCAAACAGCACAAAGTGCCTCCACATCCTGATGTGAAAATGTGGGTGGCGTGTGGAGAGAATGTCTACTGGAGTTCTTTGGTTCACATTGGGATGTGAATCGTACTGCAAAAGCTAGTGTTGTTAGTATCTCTGAGGAACATAATTTTTTTTGTTTAAAACACAACGTGAAATGCCAGAGTGTGATTAATGATATCAAACCATATGGATGAGGATCGACCAATGCACCCATACTGGAAACTATGTGAAACAACACTTATGCTAACACCAGCTGACAAGTGATAGATGAGGTTCAACCGACCGGCTTTGCGTTTCTAGGAAGCGACTTCATGAAACTCTGATGCTCTTGCGGATCACTGATCAACGATATTGTTTACAATGGTGTGTCAGATTGAATCAATCCCCCGATGCTTTTTCTAGCTAGGAGTTTCAATGAAGAGTGTTGTGAGTTGGTTGTTTAGTTGATACTTTGACCGACGAATTCTGACTTCAAAGAGAAGTTACGTGGATTGAAATTATGGGATACCTGAATAGCAGATTGGACAAAGTACTGAATTCACAGTCTGAAGACCAAAGCTCGGGTCATGATTTCGATCTGGCTGCCAGTTTCATTTTTGAAGACTTCTGTACACTTGTTTCAGAGCCACAAGACTTGGACATATGGTACGTCGCTGTTTATTTTCATTTGTTGGATTCGTCATGTGAAGTTCGATCCTCTTACTTTGTAACCAGCTACTTCGAGGACTACGCCAGAAAATTAGCAAATTTGCTCTGGACAGATGAACACAGTGTTTCGACATGGGAAATCCATATGAATTATATCCAGGACCGGCTTCGTTGGACCGCCAAACTTTTAAGAGTGACAGAATCTTAGGTTCTATCAGTTCGCATGTACTGACCCGTCAAGCCTGATCTGGGTTCAGCAGCAAGTGCATTTTCAATAAGCTCAAACCAGGAGCGTGTAATTTAACGTCGATTCCAATTCAAAGCTGGCACGGGCCACCTTCAGCAACATCACTATCTGGGGCGTCGATGGGTCAGGGGTTCCAAGAAGGTGGGGTGGAGTAGACGGTTTTGCTAGACTTGAATTACTGACGCCTAATAGCCATAGATTATTGCCTCTCCTCGGTTTAAAACGTTTTCTGTCTGGTGCTCCCGTAATCACAACAGCAAAATTATTGAGATGAACTTCATTTATTGTCAAATTTCCCCGTTTGTACACAATTTTTGTGGATACATGCATCAAAGCAACCCAAATATGGAAGACAGTTTTCAGAATTTGATTTTCCTACATACCCATCTGGAAAAAAGCAAGGGGGCAGAGTCACAACTGACGAAAGCTGGCCCGCATTAGTAAAAAAACCCTGATCGTACGATATTCCTGGTCTCACTTTATCTCTGCTATCCTACGGACTATCGTTGTAAGCCATGCCAGCGGTTTCGAACAACCTGTTTCATACTCGAAAACCACAGTCCTCCATGGACATCGCATTTCATTGCCTAGAATGGCGGGCTAGTCGCAAGAAGAAAGTAAAGCTAGCTGTTAAGAAAAACAAGAAAACATGTCATCATGACGCTGATGAATGCGGTTCATGGTGACACAGAAGCCAGTTGATCATCCAATAACTAGATTTCGTAACGCTCCTTTTCTAGGGGCATTTGATTCAGCAGACTAGCGAGGAGAAGCGCTCCCGGTCTAGAGGACTGAACGAACCAGAATGAGATAGATAATGAATCAGAAATTTTATCGATAGCACTAATAGGTAAACTAAGCACACCTTGCAGACTCACCATCTTTAATTTGGATGCTTCATACTGTGCTAGCTTTTTAAGCAATTGTTCCACTTTGTCTTTGTAGTGTTCCGTTTCGGCACGCATTGCATTTCCCTGCTGTTCCATCTGATCGGCTAGCAGCTGTGCCTCCGATTTCCACTGCATTGTCAACTAGATGTTACAGAAGGATGGATGATTAAATATGATTGACTGACGTGGATAAGTAGTGCGAAGTTGTCGGAGCGTCGGGGTAGAAAAATTCACTTTTTGGAATGAATGTCAATGAGAAATTAGTTTTTTACCCCCTCCTAAGTCCCGGGCATCCGTTTGAAATTCACAAATGAGTTTGTGTAAACAAAATCCAACGATGGTCAGTCTAGACAACTTTGCACGAAAAATCATCAGGAAATTGAATCTTGGTCCAGTTTCACGAAGCTAATCTGCACTTCTCACTGTATATAACAACTGTTCACAGTTATTGGCCACCACAGAGCATAGAAGCCGTTCACATACAGCCATGATGATTTGGTACATGTCTTTGACGTCGAAGGTGAACAGTGCGAAAAGTTGCCCGATGAAGCCAAAAATTACTTTTTGTGCTGGCATGCTTTTTTCCCAAGCAAAAACAGGACTACCTAGAACCCATACAAGTGGAACATATGACTACCAGTACATTAAGTGTGTTCACGGATGGTTGCCTAACTGAAATGGTATAGTGTTGTGACTACGGATAAGTCCATTGGTGTTCAGACTACTAGCTGGTAGGCCACGGGTTTGAAACTCCTTAGATTTTCGTGAGAAGAGCACAGCTGATGACTCCGAATGAGGTAAAATGCTCCTGGACTTTTCGCCATAGACTGGTCTCGTTTAGGGGACGATTTCTCAACTAAAAGTGACCAATTCTCGCATGAAGATGAATCCGAAGACATTGGTCGCAGTACAAGGGTTGGTACGCGGCCGGCCTACCCACATGAGAAGTGCAATAGCTGATCTAAAATTACTGGCTGTATTGAGTTTGTCGCTTTGTTTATCGGTTTTAAGTGATGATGTCTCGACTCACTTATTTGCTCTGTCGGTTGTCTATAAATGGACAAGTGACTATGTAGAGGCAAATTCCTAGCAAGTGCTGGGATGGTTTGTATTATTTTGTAGGACTTTTTCAACTGTCTTTTCGTGGTTCGAGTCAGGTCTAAATCAAGTCGCTGGATGGTGAACCTGCGGCGTATGGACAAATTTGGTTTCCATATATGTATACATATATATGTTTATTTATAGTGCACGCAGCAGGTGGAGACTCACAAATAGACGAAAGTTGAAACTGCAGTCAAGATGCAAGCTAAAAGCAAACTCATTTCGCATTTTGCGCTGACTAATCGATGCACGTTGTGCTCATAACATCGAACACGGCCTATTAGGTTGCTAGAGTTTTCATTGATTTGGACACAGTCGGGCCGGGTTGGGCAAATATCAGGTATTGCAAGCAGATGAAACTAATCATGTCGCACCCGGAACCTGAAACTCGCGCTGCAGGGTTATTTTCCGGTGTAGCATGAGGCTGCTCCCATTACCGCATATGTAGATCGATAAACGAAAAAAGCCCTTTGGAGGAGTACAATTATCTCTGGTTACGATTAATGTGATTTCGCTACCACCAATAAGAAATGCATCATCCGGCATCATCGCAGGATGAAGACCAGCGTTTGAAGAAGATCTGGTTTGACTACCTTAATTAGGAAAGTAGCATAAGGGCAGGTATATCGATCTTCTGGGACAGGTTGTGATAAGATGCCTTTGGGGTTGTAGTCAATGTGCGGAAGTCTTTCCTTGGTCCAGCACATCCATAACTGAACCATTAGTTGTGCTTGAGTTTCCTCCAGCATGGACAACTTCATGCACCTGCTCAATATTAAGTTTTCAAGATTTCCCATAACCAACGCACCCATAAGCTTTGGACCCCAGTCCAACTAGTCGACATAAATTATTAATCTACCCCATTGGGCGACGTGACTCGTCATCAGTTTGCACAGTAAGATAAAGTGAGGATGGCTACGTCATGAATATCTGGATTTGAAAGAGTAGAACTGTCGACTCACTTTTTGTTGCTTAGTCAAAATATCTTGCCAGCGTTTGGCACTCAGTCGGCTTGCGTTTTCCAAGGCATCGATTCGCCGTTTGGCTTCCGCCTCTTGCAGTTCCAAAGTTTGGTGCGCATGCATGACCTGCTGCAACGCTGATCGCTGGGCCGCTTCGGACTGTTGTCTGGCATCTGCCGCATGTCGTTCAGCTTCTTTTATGGACTCACTGTGTCGCTTGAACATCTCTTCGTTCAATTTTTGATTTGCTTCAGACGTTTCCAAACGTTCCTTGAGAAGTTTAACCTGAAAAACCATTTGTGTGACCTCAAACATAAGCAGAAAATCACCTCTTATTACTGCGAAAAAAAAGTACGTCAACATGGGCTTGAAGAGACAGCCATTTTTGTACCCGGCTGTTAGAACTAAACACAGTAACCCTTAACTAGATCACATAAAATTACCGGCGTTAACTTTTAAAGTCAATTAAAGGTTGCTATCTATTCTGATGAAATAATGACTTTCATTTAGAGGTTCAACTGGCCATTCGGTTTCTATTATTTAAGTTATAGGGTCAAATCAAATAGGAATTCTTGGAGTTTAATTGTGGGGTGCAGCTCAACTTAGCAGTGCTGAAAAAAGCACAGATTTGAACTAAGTGAAGGAGGTCGATCCAACATTCCACAATTAGCCACACGGCCAACAGACCAACCTGGAATACTCGGTCAGGGTTGGATCTTTGAGGGCAATTTCCTACCTTCTTACACCGTCCATCATTTATCCTAGTGTTCACAAACAGCGCATCTCACGGGAGTAAAACGAAACGACAAACACACTGCGTAAGACAAATGGGATGTTCACCTCACACAGGAGTTGCTCAATTTCACTTTGCTTCGCTGCCAGGACTCGTTCACGTGACGATTCGGACGTTTCCAACTTCAGCTTGAGCTCATCACGTTCTCTTTCCGCCTGATGTGCTCGCTGGAGAGTTTGTTCAAAACGCAAATCAACCTGGTTCGTCGGAATATTGCTGTTCATTCGGATTTCTCTCTCACTTGTGACCTTGTACTTTTCCAGTTCCATTGCCAACTGCGATCGACTCTGGAGTGGAACAGTAAAAATGTATGTTTAAGACACAGAAACTCAGTGAAAGCGGTAAGATCAGCTCTCTTTGCTCGCTGCAGTTTGTAAAGATTTATGCACCCAATTTCGTTAAATGAATGAACAGTGGTTGTCCAAACGAGAAGCTTCCAACAAGTCATGTAGGAGAGATAAGGATTTGGGAAGTCTTGAATATGAACAAATGTACATATATGTACAAAGTGACTAAAAACACTTTATCAAACCGAAATTCTATTCGCTCTTCCTTCGTAATATGATTGCTGAGCTCATGTGTAACTCTCCTTCTCAACGGACAAAAACCTTGCCAGCTGTAGCATAGTAGGGATGTTCACCGCAATGAAAATGAGAAGCAGTTGCTTAGGCGGCTTGACTAATTACGGTGGTTATGCAAATATGCGAATATTTCTGAAGTAATCCAGAAGACTGAGCCTGAGACCCGGTACTTAGACTGAGTTAAGAGAGCCCAGTCACCACAGGTTGAATTATCCATAAAACCAAGATGAGAATTCTTATAAAGCCCTTCACAGCTTCTTCTAAGTACACACGAGTAATCATAAGCAATATCTAAAGAAATATTAGGCCGAGAAGCGACAACAGGTTTAGAACAGAGTAGTCCTGAATGCGAATAAACCTGAATGTGACCTAAGCGAAGAGATAAAACATCGAGGTCTATTACGCGCACCATGCACTGGCTGGTAATTATTTCAACACTGTGCCAATTGATGGTCTTGATTCTCTTAAGAGGCTAAAACACCGACACCAAAACGCAAATAAATCTTCTGGATAGTTTCGCAGGTCCTGCTTCTGGTTCTCTGAAACGTAACGTTGGACACGTCCCTCAGCTTCTTGGACACAAAAACCTAACAAAAGGAAGTACAACCTTGGGAAATGTTGGTTTGGGCTTGTATTCCACTCGCACCAAAGGCTTGGTTGAACTAGTCAAGGCAGCCACGCATTGATTCTGAACAAACCGGAAAAGAACGGCTGCAGTTTTCCTGAGAGAACCATGTGAACATCCTACTGCCTAACTTGTGAAAGTCAAACGGTTCTATTGATTAAAAGAAGGTGTTGCAATACTTGTGCCCAAATAGCACCATCTATTCTAACGATTAATTTTTCACTAAACGTACAAACCTTTTCAACCATGTGAAGCTCTTCCAGCAAAGCGGTAATATTTTGGTTAGCTTGCTCTCGAACTTTGTCAACTTCTTCGCGCGTTTTCTGCCCAGCTTCTTCTATGAGCTTCTCAATCACAGAGCGAAGTTTATGCAACTCGCTTTCCGTGTTCGCTTGATCAGCTAGAGCTGCATCCCTTTCGTCGGCTGCAGTTTTTGCCAGTTCCAATGTATCTGAAACCTTCCGGGGAAAAACAAAGGTTCATCTTTCACATGACATTACTTATCAGGACGATTACAGCCTTTTATATGACTATGCTGCATTTGCCTTGCTGAAGTCTATCAAGCGCCTGAATTTTGTTTATTCATATTTTGCAACTAAAAACTGGATGCAGCTTGCATGAAACTCAATTGAGCCTATGGTTTATGGTGTTTCCTAAAAGTATCGACTAGATTGTCCATTTAAAACTTCACTGTCGGGCTTTGCCCTAGATGGAGTTAGCTTGCAGTACAATAAAAAAGCGTCAAGCGCATTTGTATTCTTTTCTGTTGATTGTTTGGATTGGAAAACAGTCAACATACGCGTTGATTTGCAATATAACGGGAGATTTAAATGGGTCAGCAGAGCCATTCCACTGAACGGTGAAAATCTGCGGTTTCATTTCCTTGTTTTGCGTAGCGCTTCATTAAGCACTTCGTTAGTGTGGTGACCAAAAACCCTAATTTTTATTCGGTAAAGTTACCGTTCATACAGAGAATTAGTGATGGGCTATTTTATTGCGTTATTTGCGTATTACGAAAAACCATCACGTAAGCACCAGGTGACTAGCCGCTTATTGGCACCCTGACTGTAATTCCGTCAAGAAAGAATGCGTCTGTCCACACACACACGCACACACACACACACACACACACACCGAGTTTTGAATGTGCGAAATGCTAACAAAAATGAGCTATTTGACATTCCCCCGATTCCTTCTCGATGGAAGTCGTTTTGTCCTCAAATAGTACGAAAAACGTTAAACCTAAGAAGAAATCTTGTATACTCAGTCATTTTTATAGAGCGATAACTTCTGTCTGTAGGTAGAACAGTTCACTCTTAGAAACGTGAATGAAACACAACTGAAAAGCATCCCGGTGATATCATATTCCTCTACTAAAACGTGCCTCCACGGGCTGATGCAAACGAAACTATATGTTTAGCTATTGTGTGGAGCAGAGTGCAAATATTTAGTGATGACTGGGTGACTTCGAAAGCAACTGCATAAAATGTGGAGTGAAATTAAGAGGGAAGTGTCGAGTACTCCCGAAACAGCTAACCACTTTTAGGGAACTAATCCTCACTCAAATGAATTTAACAAGGGAGTCTCCCATGCGGTACTTACATGGATTCTCACCCCAGGAGGTGGGAATTTTAGCGCAACCGCATTTCAACAGAATTACGTAGAAAGATGCTTCTGAGGAAAATGTGACCATAACTTTTCAAGACATCTCAGGCACTTCTGATAGTCATACAATCAGGTTAATAAACAAACAACTTGAAGCCCACATGAGTCGAGTGCACTGAATGGTTCGACAAACTAATAGCACTTTTGCTGTTTCTAATCTCTGATTGCCTACAGAAGAAGAGTTACGGTGTCTTTGCTCGAAAGAAGAGGAAAGAAGCTAACATCAAATCTGATGACGGAATCAAATAAAATCGTTCCACTGCGGAGGTAATTGAACGTAGGTGTCGTCCTTGGTATGACGGACGACTATTGTAGATATTCGATGCCCCGAACTACATGTCCATTTGTGATCACGCGGATCCTTACGCAGAACCCAAATAGTACAAGCCCACATCCCAAGTTTTTCACTCAGAACCTTAATCCGAATGCCCTTTGTAGAACATCTGTACGGTTGCTCCATAACGTTAGAAACGAATTCCAGTTCCGTGTGGAACAAGCGTCAACAAAACTCATTCGATTTGTCAGCGAGGTTACACATAACTCAGGTGTCAAAAAAACAAATGGAAGGTACGATAAGCAGTTGGAACATTGATACTGTAGTTTTCCGGCATTTGGTTGCCAATGCCAAGTTAATACTTCCTCATGGATGGTTCCAACTTGTACGGGAGCACAGCTGTCATCCTGAAGATTGAAAAGTAGTGATAATCTCGTGTAATAAATAGCTCAAAGCGTGCTCTTGGACTGCACAGTGAGGGTTTAACGGGTCATTTCAGCTTTTTCTGATATCAACGTAAAAAGAAACACATGGATAGATCGTACCTTTTGAAAGGTTTGGTTAACCGTGCGGCAGGCAACCTCGTATTTTTCTTCCAAACTGGAAAGTTTTCCCTCCAACTCCTTCACACGTTGGCAAGCACTGTCGTATAGCAACTGAGTTTCTGCCAGTTCAACCTTTACAATGGAAAACAAAAGGAGGGGTAACTTGAAAAGCAGTCTATCCGGATAAAAAACGCCGAGGCTGCGCTGGAAGGCTTAGTGAAAATGGAATATACTGGGACGAAATTATGTACACTGATCCATCGGACGTTTATGACTTGCAAAATAAAGGTGGTCGTAGTTCAGCGAAGTCTATGAAGCACGTAGACACAGTCATATTGGTTAAAAAGTAATTTCAGGCTGAGTCATGCCATAGATAAAACTGTGAACGTTAGGTGGAGGGCAAAGACTTTCGTTAGCAGACTCGGTAATGTAGACAGAAGCGGTCAAGTCCTAATTTACGCTACGCTTGAATCAAGAGATTAAACTGAGGGAAATAGATACGCCTCCAGCCCGATGGAGTTCATTTAGAAAACTGAATCAAATCAAAACCTAGCAGCGACTCGTGTTCACGGAACCTAAGTTTAGCATAATTCTGAAAATAATTCATCCAGTCGTAAAATAATTTTTAGCTCTATTTTTCGTTGGATCTGTATCCGGCACAACCTTGCCTATGGCAACCGTGTTTGGACACATTCGACCGCAAAAGTCCAAAAGACCTGCTTATCCTCACGGAGAAGACAGCCAAAATAAGTACTTAAGTTACCGGTACCTGATTTCTTATGCCGCTTGGGGAATAGTCGAGGCGAATAAAGTTCGGATTTCCGGGGATAGCAGAGTATATGGACACCACATTAAGAGCAATAACATCAAAGATTAAAGTATCATAAGGTCTGATAGACCACCCATAATCGTTAGAGGTCGCATGCGGTGGCTGTGCAAAAGTAAGCGACAAACTAGCTCCGGAAACATCTGCTGTAATTTGTGCAAAACCCACACAGGAGTCTTCCAAAGAAAGTAGTCGGCTTCCTCACAATAAGCTAGTAGTGCATACTAGGAGCTGAAAGTTCTGGACTGAAATTCATCAGATATCTGTATAGATATCAACTAATGTCAATTAATATTGAATTAAATATAAACACAATCACTGTCCTTATCTGAGCAATGTCCTGTTGTGGACAACGGATGCCAGTTCTACTACATATGTAGACTAAGATTTTAAAGTATAATTGCGATTAGCCGCAAAAAGTGATTCGCAGTGAGTTGGAATCCACAGTTCATAGAAAGTGATGGGCCAGGAGCACAATTATTGTGAAAAAATCACTCCTCTGGGGCCCACCGAATTTGTTTCAGAGCTGCAAATCCAGCGTAGCTGAGAGAAAATTTATTTCCATGCATAGAAATTGGACAGAACACGACATTTGAAGTTGCTAAGTAGGTGAATGTGACGACTAATCAGTGGTCAAGCACGATACATGCACGACCATTAAAAAGTACATATGGGTTAATATTCTCCTCCCTTCTCTCCTTTTTCTTACTTCTGGTGATATGCACTAACAACAAGCCCATAACAACTTTTCACCAGAATCCTCTGCATCCATGAACGAACTACAAGACTACCCATGAAAATCTAGATATGACACATTCTAGAATCACCGACTGAATTAGACAACCTACTTGGAGGCTCTATCACTTACGTTCTTGGTGAGTTTTTCGAAAGGCACACTCAAAACTCCCGCGTAAAAATGCTATTTATCAAGAATGATCTAAAAGCAACTCAGCTTTCAGTAGAAACATGAACATTTATGGTGGTATTTTATTGCAAGAACCATATAATTTTTGTGTTGTTATGATCGTCTGGTTACAATGGCTTCTGATCTAAGAATCGGCTGATAAGATTTTCGAGATATTGCGACATATGTATGGTGGTGGTACACCACTCATAAGGCTGCTGGAAATTCTTCGACAACCATCAACGGATTTTGCCCTTCTTGGAGCTTATCAAGTAGGCGCAGTCCCCGAGGTTCCGCCAAACTCATGTTCTAATTGAATCCAAATTGGACTGTTTTCGATAAATACACTCATTTGCAAATCAATTTAGGCGCAGTCTCGAATTCCCGTCAACCTTGCGTTCTACATGAAACTAAATTGCACGAAATTAGTAAAATGCCCTCATTTGCAAGCAAATTTTGTTTTTTGGGCGAGACTCCCTTGGAACCCGGCTGAATCTCTCATTTAGGATATTTTTAAACTCAGGGACTTCGCCTATCTGATGAGCCCCAAGAATGGCAAGACCGACCACAGGCTGTTGAAGGATTTTCAGCAAAATTATTACGTCCGAAAAGAGAATGCTTTTATTCACCAAGCATCATTATGTTTGGATAAGATGGGTGACTGCAAGTGACCTTCAAAAGCAAATTAGTTTTGCAGAACACATGTTCCGGCTATTTCGGGGGAATAACAACTGACTGGTTTGTTGTAGAGTAGTCTGGTGCAGTTTTCTCAATATGCATAGTATTTCTAGTTCTAATAACAAAAATCGGTCGATACCACCAAAGAGCGGTACTTACTTTGAGCTCATCCTCTTCCGCTGGTCTCCCATGCCTGAAGTTAACCTCTTTGGAATTATCTCTCTCAGGGAACTCATCCATTTGACGCTCTCCATCGTCAGTTGGCGCTCCACTGGTGAAAAATAAATATTGCCAGTTGAGTTGCGTTTCAAATAAGTGCATAGTTGGTCTTCTATGGAGGGACAAGCAAGTTACGCTCCGGAAAAAGCCCTTCTTTTGGTGTGCTTTTTTCGGAAACGACCCGACGACTAGAGAAATTTTTAAGCAAAACAAAAATTTGCCACTAATTGGGGCTAGTCTTTACTACTGCGTCTCTCAAGAAAAAGCCAAAAATAAATGCACACGGCCCCCAAAACTGACTTTTTAAAAAACGCATTTTCTTTCACTGAATTTCTTAGTCCTTTCAACTGGTCTTCCTGTTGAAATCTGTGGTCATTCATCTTATGGGTATTTGGGTCGGAAGATGTTGCCAGTTTGTAAATTCGGAGCTCATCTTCCATACGGCTGAGTTCCTCTTCCATTCGGTTGCGTAAATTTGACTCTGCCCAAAGTTCCTAGAGCAAACACCAGTGAGTGATTGGGACATACCTCTTTGAGAGATTCGACTTGCAACTCTAAGTTCTGTACAAGATTATCCTTATACATGCTAGAACTTGTGTTGCTATGACATTGGGTTTGTTCCAAATGCAGTTTCATTTGTTCTACTTCCAACTTGAGCTGTTGAATAACCGACTAAATGCCGATGGGCCAAAAAACAGGCAGAAAACTACCATTTCCTTAGTAATTGTTTCTGTCATTTGCTTCATTTGCATAGGTGAGAATTCAACTTGAGCTTTCATTATTGTCCAGCGAAGAAGACGCAAGAGCCATCAAATATCTGAAGAGGAAAAAAGATGGAACTTTATTTTTGCAATCCTCCTCTCAGAACGAGCCGTCACTTAGGAACGTATTGTAGTACAATATAAAAGAATATTATCTGATGTATAGGCGTAGTGCATTAATAATGAGGTTGCTGAAAATTCTTCGGCAGCTCACGGCCGGCTACGTCCTTTAATGTAAGTATGATACAGTATAATATAACACGGTAAGATGTGGTAGAGTGATAACACAACAATCCAATATTATAAGGTAATACAACATAATGTATTTTGGTGTAAGGCAGTTTACTTCGATATGATTTAATATACAAGGACGTAACACTATAAATAATGTGAGGTAGTACAATATTAATAGCAATAATAGTAAAATAGTTTTAATAGATACAGTATGTGTTATACTAGCAACTCTTTTCAAAATTAACCGTGGATTAGTAGAAGTTGGCTAACTTAAAGGATTACTGTCTGGCATATTATCGAATGGTTTCCGTCATAACAGTGGTCTTAAAACCCTAATAAGTAACTCAGGAAAAATCGATGAAAAACAGAGTTGCATTGGGCTTTTTGAGTAGAAATGAACCCAGTATATCCAGGAACTGTTGGCAACAAGATGTTTGGGCGAACTGGCTATCAACCAGTAGAAAATGTCTTGTTTGAACAGCTGAAGAAATGTAAAACCCACGTGGCTACCACAAATCAGTTGATCCTATTCAACTTTCATTACGGGCGAGTGCATACACACTACTGTCTGGCTCCAGACTCTATTAGCTCCTTTTGAATATAACAGGATATGACCCCGAGTAGTAATACAAATCATTTTATCCGTTTCCAAGTTGCATGTGGTATGTTATTTTCAGTAAAGCTATGCGCAAATTTACCATATAAAAGGTGCATTACCTGGGAGTAAGTTGCGCTGATTATGCACCTGAAGGTTGGGACCTTGTGTTCTAAAATGAGGACTATAACTGGATAGCAGGTCGTTTACAGCATTTGATGGACTGTTTGGGAGACCTGCTGGTTGCTACAGAGTTCAATTTGTGCAACAAATGCTTCCAAGTTTAAAGGTTTTCAACCTACTAATATGAAAGCATTTATCGACTAACGGTTAAGAATTCGGACGATTTACGTTTAAATAAGCTAGGCTCTCTACCATCGATCTTAGGGATGTCGTCTTCGTGGATTCGTAATTTTGGTTTATTTTGAAGTTGACAAAACTCACATATTAAGTCGTGTAAATGATTAGAAATCAAAAGTGACTGATTCAATATAGGAGCACTGCTTCTTTTTCCAAACCGCTACCCCACAATTCCTTCCAATCTAATACAACCGTACAACTGTTGGCCTTACTTGCAGGATAGCCACTACTTAATTATGAATGAAGCTGCCAGGTATTTCATCAGTATAATGCAAAATGGGTAATCTAAAGTGATTTATAATTTTAACCTCAAAGGTTTTTCTGTTGTTATGTGACTTTCATCAAATAGTCTGATTCACAGGAGGTTACTGAAAAGTTGCACTTGTTTTGACCGTAATATATTACCGCCAGTTTGGCTCACAGTACTCAGTGCTCGATGTTGTGCTGGTCTGAGACTAGAAACTCTAAGTTAAACCTCCTCCATTTCCGGTGAAATTATCCTTATCAGTTCATACCAAAGTGTAAAAGTTCCATTATCTTCTGACATAATTACTATGATCACCGCAAAATCTAGATTACTGGCTCGACAGATAGTATCCTATATTGGTCAGTGGTGTTTCTGACAGACTGATGCCTCTACAGTGCCTTGGAGATAACCAATTCTTCTCTGGTAGGTTTATTTTTGTTCAAAATATTTAACCTGGGGCGAACTTTCCCTTCACCAGTTTGTGTATTGGTATTTCAAAAACGGCCAGTAAGAGTCCGACCTGTCAATCTTCAAGTAGTAGACGTACATGTTTTCAAATAGTTACGCGTGTCTCTTGCTGGAAAACCTACCTGGCTCCAAATGCGTTAAAAGTATCTGGTAATGGTGAACATCTTGTCGATAAAAAATACCTACCAGATCACATCCGAAGTCGCAGTCCATGAACTGTTAAAGTTTGGAACTTGGAGAGAAGTGGCCGTCTCTTAAAAGCCTAAAAATAATCTGTTGCTTTCGACAACAAAGCTTCATTCTATTGAATAAGTCACGGAAATTCTTGTCAGGGTATACAGAGAGTAATCTGGTGTAATCCTACAGTAGTAGGAGGCTTAGACGTCGGATATGCCACAACCATTTACTGTTCAGGACGACAGAACAACTTGTCACCATTTCAGCACCTATTCCATTCACCCTTTACGGTGCCTAAAGATTTGTATAGCAAACTTTTTCAACCAGTTTGGTACAACTCTTAGTTTCCACCCAGAAAACGTCTACAGTTTCTAACTACGTTGTGTGCCCAATACCAAAGTGAGTCTCAAAGTTTCTGAATAAATGCAGAGCGCCCGACGCTCACTTGCATTCCTTGGTAGCATGTGTAGTGTTTTTCCTTATTTTGTCAATTTTAATATATGAACTCCCTGCTCTCTTTTATATCAAGATCATTGTAAGTCATCAGTACACTTTGGTGTGATGTTATACGCACAATGCGTTGCACTACCAAGTGAAAAGCTTATCTCCTATTGCATTCATGCAAACACTGCAGATGATTCTTTCTAGACGGTTTCTATGGGCAAATCACTAGAGTTGGTTTCCGCAGCATGATATTCAGTCAATACTTGAATACAAACTTCATTAGGTAGGGAGCTAAAAGGTTTGCGTCTAGGTCTGTAAACATGGTGCCACTCGTTCTTGCATCACTGACAGCCAGTGGATGCTGGCCAGCAGCCAATAAATCCAGTTAGTGAAAAAATCTGATGATGTAGAGCGCGACTAATTCCTTTCATTGCTTCCGAATCAGTCCAGTCGCTCCCGATTCCACGGCTTTCTCGGTCGCCAAATCCCGGCGAACCAGCCAAGTGTCAAACAGATGTCACTAGAAGAGGCAAAGAATCCAAAATATGAGTCGTACAAGACCAGCAATATGCTATTACCGCCTTAGAAGCTTAGTCAACAAATGATAGAACAAATATGGAAGCAGGTATACCATTTGGATATGCTGCCGAGATAAGCCAGGTTACGAAAGAGTCGTATTGCATATGGATGGCTCCTCATTTCAAGTTACCCTGGTAAAGGTTTAGCAACCGGACACTAAAAGTAAGGCACGAAAGTGCTGCCCGACCAGTTGACGAAGATATTCCTTCCCGTCTAGCAGCTATGTAGGGAAGTCACAGTAATAAGGCCACGTGTGCATAGACCTAGACCGATAACGCACCGAACAGCCAGCCATTTAGCACCTGACTCTGGCCTCCTTCAAAAAATCGTTCGACTCACAGGTAAATGGCTTTTATTTTTGCAAGATCTGCAATATTTTGCACATGCGAAGACTTGTTATTATGGCAACTCTATCTGATTCTGACTCTAGTGTTGTCCAAAAGTTTGCAACCAACTGCGGCAGTTATGGCATGTTAGCCACCAAAAAGTTTTGGCTAAATTGTTGTGTTAGCCAAAATCGTTTAGTGCCACATGTGTCGAAAAGCAGTTTTTGTGTTCTCGATGGGGCTGACTGCCAGATTGTGATGCGAAACACAGAGAAAATATACTGAGTGATTGTTAAGCTACTCAGTTTGTAGAATACCTGTTTAAATATATGGGACCATTTGACAGCTTTGGTTCACCAGCACGTTCTGTGCATAACCAACAGGCTCTCATTACCGTTACATCCAGATATCTTGCCACGGCTCGTAGAACCCAGAAGAAAGGCAGGCAAAGTCTTAAAAATGCTACTGACACATACGAGACTCAAACTTATTTAATAAGTAGGGAAACACCCAACAAGCGCAAGAGCAAATCCTAGCTAGCAAAGCTCACGAGGAATACATAGCATGTCGGGAAAATGGCTATTAGATGTTTCAATACCCGGTATTTTCATGAAAAAGTAAAAATGTCGGTTCTATGGCAGTAAGCAGCACCATAGTACAATCTAGGACTTCCGAGGCGGGGCTCTTATTCCAGAACTTTGATACCAACAGGGCGTAGCAGCCTGATCGGTAATTGTGGAATGCGGTAGTGTGAGGAGCTATGCTGACCCACTTCCAGTGACACAATTCTATCCTGAAAGACCCAGAAGCGGTGTACGATTGTTTCTTTATTGTCTAAAATCATCAGCACAACGAATTTCACAAAACTCGGTGGCTAGACACTCGACCGTTTCCTCATCGCTGTGAGCTGTAAGAACCGCGTACTCGTCGTCAGTGGTTGTAGCAGTCACAGTTTTGCTCACCAATGATTTGGAGAGGTGGAGTAGGTAGACGCTCATTGGAAGCGGGAGCTGAAAAATCCTGCGTAAATACAGAACTGTCAATAGACCGGAGGAATTGAAGAGGGGTCTGTGCATTAAAGGCAATAGTTTGGATGCAAGAGCGCCGTCGATGCGCGACTGGGCCATGTCCGAGAACGTCTCCAAGCATTGATGTGGCCTTTCTTAGAGTCCCAATCCAGAAATACGGCAATGACCAGCGCAGCTGAGTTTGCTGGTACTGGCTTTCACACTTCGCTGCCAAGTCATTGTTCGACCGCTTCTGGCTCTCTTCCACCCTACACGTGGTTATGGAAAAGAGCCCTTCGGGGAGTTCAGTCGACTGGCATACGCAGCACGTGGTCAAGCCAGCGCACACCCTATGCAGTGTGATCAGTTAATCTATTGAGGGTGAATTATTTCTTCCGAATACCATTCGATGGACTTCAGAATTGCTGATCCGGTGTTCCCACCAGATTCGGGCAATGCTCAAAAGGCATCGATCGTCAAATACTGAAAGTCTTTTGACGTCCTCAGCGCGCAACGGCCAGGTTTCTGACCCACAGAGTAATATGGAGCGCACCGCAGCATTTCAAACTTGACCCTTGACGGATAAGCTGATGTCAAGCCTACGC